TTAATTTCAAGGGATATTATGCTTTTCTGAATGCTTATAATGATTACTTTGAATTAAATCTTAATAGTGTGATTTTTCTGATTTAAAACCTGCACCAAGACATCTTGAAAAAGAAGAAAAAAATATCATGCTTGTTTCGCTACCGTTCAGATTTTCATGTAACACAACAAAAAGTATTAGTATGTGACACCTACACTCTATACCTAGGCCTATTTCTTTCAGTTATGACCCAATTGCCAAAATAATCTATTAATACAATCAATCTCTGTAGAAGTCTATGTGAACTTTAATCATAATCTTGTTGTTAACTAAAAGCTTAAACAAAACATTCCTTTGATGTTTCCTTAAAATATGTTGTAAATTCACAACTACATAGTATTTCCTTTATACATATAGCATAACCTGAGTGGATTTTAACGTTAAAAGTTTTTTATCAGATAAACTGAGGTTTTTTTATTCCTTTTTTTTTCCAATAGTTGCTCAATATTTCGCTTATACTATGCAACACTCGATAAAAATTCCACTGGCTAACAAGGTTTATATTTTTGTGTGGTAATATCACGTGTATTCGTTGGATAATGAAGCTACCTTTACTTATCACTAATATTTTAAATAAAGATGAAGAAGTGTTTTTAGTACAAGCAACATTAAGCTCTTAATTAGAAAACGTTAACATATCTTACCCCCTTCCCGACGAAATCGACGACGGCGAAAAAGATTTCTCGTCTCTCCAACGATGTCGTTGCCTTGCAATTCGTTTCTTGCCCGCTGTATCCGATTTAGAGATGCTGTCGCAACGTTCGCTAGAGATGCCATCGGGATTCAAAGTGAAAGTCCATTTCGATTTCTGCGACAATTTAAAGGGAATGGTCGACGCCGCCATATTGTTTATACAGCACCAGGCACGGCCTATGCTATTCTAGAACGCGCTCGTTGATTGGTCTAAATCACATTCGGTATGCTCTTTATTTTTAATAATTTATTTTGTTCCGAATGTGGACGAGTCCATCACAGACTGGGTACGATTGGGAATATCGTATCTTTTTGCCATTAGTGACTTGAACACATTTATTTACACTTAAGGTTAAAAGATTTGACCTTAAGTGGATTTTTTTTTTTTACAATTAAGGTCAAATCTTTTGACGTTAAGGTAAAATGTACATAATGTAAAAAAATAATATTTGCCCTTAAGGGCAAATCTTTTGACCTTAAGTAGTTTATGTATTTTTTTACAGGATGGCGTGCCATAGATATGTACATTGTTTGTGTATAAAGCAAAACTTTGATATCAACGCAGTGAAATATTGACAAACAACATATACCCTCAAATATCCAGTCCAGTGAAATATCCTTGTATACATCGATGGCATATAATGTCAAATTACCAACGTGGGGACTTTTTTGTATTATCAAATGCTATATTAACTCAAATATCCATCCCAGTGAAATGCTCTATGTTATCACACACATAATATATACATGTATATCTAGCATTCATCTCCCAAATACCTAACCAAGTAAATTACTCTATGTAATAAATGTTAATATAAAATGCCATAAATAGCTTACCACCTCACTCACACTATATACATTGTAGTAACTAAAATGTATAGAACGCTTTACCGTTATATGGTTATGAATACCACGAAAACATTCTACGTCATGCTTCGCGGAAAACAAAACAGGAACTACATTCAATTACAATCAGACAAGTGAGTGACCCGGGTCGTAAAGGTAAATTTCTATTTATTTTATCGTTTTATTTGTTTTAAGTGTACGTATTGTCGAAATATGTACCAAAATATCACTGTTTGAATATTTTAAGTTGCTTCAAATCAACAGATAGCCATAAATTCATTCAATTATGCAAATTTGATAACTTAGATCACAAAATATCATGACCGTAGGGTATTCAATCGTTAGATTAGTAGTATCAGTATATGCAGAGATATACGGCTTTAACAGAATTACCATTGCGATTCATGTATCAATGAATAAATCTACCTATTCATCTTCATGTTACATTACTTAGATTAAATATAAATTAAAAAGAGAACCACAGTTATCCGAACCGTAACTATTATCAAGTAGGTCAACTTCTGGGTTAATTTGACACAAATGTGTTGATCTATGATCTTACCCGATATCCCATTCCATTACAGTAAATAATATACGGTGTATTTCTGAAGTTAACGTTAAAAGTTTAGTTTTTAATCGTTTTACTTTCGTTTAAGACTGATATCATAAAGATCGATCATGTGTACACATACACTGTGGAAATCCCAACTTGGATTCGTTCACTACTTACATGGGTGTTAAAAATAGTGTGGTTATTTATAGACGAGGAAATCACCTTGTTGGGGCACATTGTCTAAATATAGATAGGGCGAATGGACGGCATCGACTAATAAATGGGTACTTGTGATCTGTTGAAAGTAAAGGTGTTCGTAAATGGAGGTATGTGTATGACAGAATGCTTTGAGGCATTTTAAACAACACACTGAGGTATTGTTTTATTAGAACAGCCTCTGAGCTTTTACAAACCCGCGAACTGTGAAAAGAGATTACAAATAAATTTTCTTCCGTATTTTAAACAAACTTTTGGAAATGAGAACAGAATTGCTTTCAGTAACCATCTAGTTTTAGGTTTGTTCATGCAGCAATTAACAATTAATTGTATGTAGAAATCTAATATTACTTATATATATTCCGTCTTTGCGTATTGCAGAGTTATCTTCTCTTGTGAGCAGGTATTGATTGTTACGTCATTGGTTTGTGTGAAAACATTACGTCATTTTCTCAAAAATAGATGACGTTACTCTCGTAAACAAATGACGTAACAATCAATACCTGTTCACAAGAGAAGATAACTGTGCAATACGCAAAGACAGAATAGACGAGTTTCAGTAACAATTTTCGATACCGAATTATATTAGATCTATAAAATTTAAAAAAAAAAAAAAAATACAATATATTACTACGGTTAGATCATTCTATTTTTGACAACTTACACGATAGTCCACTATTGGAAAACTATCAAATACGATATTAATATCATTATCTATTTGGAAATTGATGCAATAGATTATTATCAATTTTATAGAGAGAAATAAAGACAAGTCACATTGCTATAAAATATGATGCGATGTTTCTATTGTTTTATATATTGTAATGACCAACATTGTAGTTTGGTATTGCGAAACAACGTATATAATAGTCATGTTGGTACTAGTACAATATTAAAGTCAGAAAGTTATTGGGAAACTAACAGGAATGTCAGATCATCTTTTTGTAATCTATTAGTATACGATATTCTTAATACCATAAATTGTATGTTAGTGTAATAATCATATTTTTATTTAAACTGTCGACTAGTGACATTCTCTAGGGTAGGTGGCATCATATTCTTTAATATTTAATTGTAACTTTTCGTATATATTTTATTCATTTCAAGAATATTTTAGATGTTGTATTTTGTATGTATTAGAATCGTTTGCAAATTAACTTATAGATTTAGCTAAGTATTGATCTAAGTGTTGACTATATATTCTGTATATTTTCTTTTGAATTTAGTTTTCTGCAGTTTTTTACAATCAACATGGCTGACAAAACTGACCGATCCAAAAAGGTTCTTACATATCATTCCGAAATGGTAACGAAGCTTGGGGAATTATTTTCAACAAAGTCCAAAGAGTGGGACTCAATTTGCGATCAATTAGAAGCGATGGGTCACATCACACCAGCCAATAGAGGAGATAATGTAAAAAGCATGCATGATTTATGCAAGTGCTTAAAGTCTAATGGCACAATCGTTTACGGGGGATACGAAACTTTACGTGCCGTTCTCCGTACACAAAATGTGGAAGCGGGTCAACTAATTGACACATACACGAAACTGATCCATCAGGAAAAAGAAGGTAATGGTAAGTCTTTATCAATATCATCACTGCTATAAATCAGCCAATCACTGATAAACAGTCATTTTCCAATGATAACGTTGAATAGTACCAATTAGTTTTTGTATGTCAATTATTTTCATATACCACGAAACCAACCCGTACTGTCTTTTCTGTCATACAGGTGTAGAAAATACCTGCAAGTCTCAGGCGGTGTTCAGTGAGCAAAATAGCGAGAACAGAAAGAGTAAGTATACCACAGGAACCTGTGCTATATTTGGATCTAAAATTGGGTGTTAAGAGTAAAGTAACACGTTGAAGGGGTTTATCGGCTGTTTCCTTTGGAAAGATGGATACTTTTTCTCTTTTAGAAACCTTCTATATGCATGGAAAATGATTCTTCTTCCATGTACATAATCTCAGTTTCGTCCGACACCACATGCGATTTCGATCGAGCCATTTTTCCAAAAATTATCTCTATGACTGCAAACACGTCGAAAACAGATTGTTTTTGAAGGATACGTGGATAATTTCAATTAAAGGGGAATACACTTTGCGTTTTAAAAGAAACATTATCCATCTTTCAAACGCTACCAAGCATATTTTGTATATCAACTAGAAATATGTTTTTAATGCGAGGAGGCTTGGCACGTGGAGTCAATTATTCGACATCGAGAGCTTTCCTCCTTTAATTAAGTAATCCAAACGTTTTAGTTAAGTTCAGCAATGTTTTGTTAAATAATTGGATTCACAAAAAATATGAATGAAGTCGTATCAATAGCATGCCTGATCTACGTCTGCAGGAAAACAAGGACCGAGTGGTGACCGGGATCCGGTAGTTGACTCCAAGCTTAGAAAGGAGAAATGGAGGAAAGGCGAGTATGATTTTTTTGTAAATTTTACAATGTACGAAAGGTATGTGTGAGGACAGAACGCCACAGTTTTTTTTAAATGGAGAATGCTTCAAATCATACAATGTACGAAAGGTATGTGTGAGGACAGAACGCCACAGTTTTTATTAAATGGAGAATGCTTCAAATCATTTACGAACTTTTTTATTCTTCAAGAAGTTACTTTATCGGAGACACCGAATGGCCCTTACGATAACAGTTGCACGAAGATTAAGATTATTACACTCTAGTGGTATATTTCGCGTTATTCATTAACACATGAGGTTTCTAGCATAGATATAGGATCTTACTTTAGTATAAATGGCATAACAAGTTATTGAATGAGTTTAATAATTCAGTATATACACACGATTGGTTTGGTTAGGTTTGGTTCTGTATTGTTTAACGTCCTATCAACAGCTATGGTCATTTAGGGACGGCCTCCCTGTGTGCAAGATGCATGCGTGTAGTGTATGCATGTGTGTTTTGGGAGGCTGCGATATGTTCGTGTTTGTCTCCTTGTGATAGCGCGGAACTGATGCCGACTTTATAGTACTATATCACTGAAACATACTGCCGAGACATCCAAGAGGACACCCCACCCGGTCACATTATACTGTCAATAGCGTTAAGCAGAAGTAGAAACTACCATTTTTACAGACTTTGGTATGTCTCAGCCAGGGGACAGAACTCAAAGCCTTCCTCACAGGGGCAAACGCTCAACTAAAGGCCAAAAGTGAGACATTGTCAAGGGAGACATGAGGAAGAAGAAACTTGTTTAGAAAGATGAGAAAAGATAAGATCCCGAATTTAGTCGCCTCTTACGATTATGCAATGGGGGCAGCAGGCACAATTCTTACGCCCTACCTGCAGGGACGTATGGACAAGAAAGTAAGATTCTATTTATAAAAATTCGAGGATTTTTGTACCACGCAGTACAAAGAAGTTCCAGATTTTTTTTTTAAAATAAATAGTTTTATATCCAACGAATATGACAATGAAAAAATTAACATTTCAAATTCATTAAAATAAAAGTTATTGCATCATGTGGCATTGTGAGTAAAGGTATTACCTGTAGTAGGAATATGTTCCCATGGTTTTGACCAATCGTAGCACTTTCAGGTTGTATTACAATGAGAGGAATTAATTAAAGCATCTTCTTCGTTCTTACACATAAATAAAAATATTCAATTTATTAATATCGATATATTGCTAATAGTATAGAACCAACAATATTACAAAATATTTGAAAGAAACATGTAATCAATCCAGTTATTAAACTGTAATGAATAATGATATAGAATAAGAGCGGAGCTGCACTATGCACAATATCTGTGACCAGGCTGACGTGCATTGCATGCTAACCTGTAGAGCAACGACACATGTTAACATTAGTCTTATTAGTTATATTATCATATTATAGAGCTATGGACGCAGTTCGACCGGCGTCATTTAACCGTTAGAAATTAACATTTTGGTGTCTCGCGTTTGACGACACGCGCTTAAATATCAAAAATATAAGATAATATCCACATGAACATCAGGAATAACTATAAATGTAGAACGTAAATAAATGTATTGAAGTATACTTAACAATTTTCATGACGGGTTGAACACTGTAAATGACCTGTTCACTACTTATATATAAACTATATACCAACACCTACAAAATGATCAGCAGTAAAATAACTTCTGATATGTTCTCTCTATAGTTGAAGAAGACCGTCCTTATCAGTTTAGAAAACAGATGGACAATACCCATGACGCAAGAATAATTGACGTGTGGACGCGTGCAAGAAACGCTGTTGGACGCATCAGAGGGCCACAATACACCGGAACAGGGATAAGAGTTGGTACCAAGTACATTCTCACTGCCTATCATGTCGCAAAAGACATAACAAGTAAGTTAATAAGAAAGATGATTCTACTCCGATATTTACAGACTTAA